ACGCTGACGTCGTCTATAGGCGACGCTCGTACACACAGGTCGTCACGCGGATCTTGTCTATAGGCGACGCTCGTAGCGAAAGGATTAAAATACAGAGCGCATAATAGGCCATCATTTCATGGTGGGTAACTGGAAACCAACCATCATCCATTTTCCTTCTTCTCTCGTCGTTCATTATTTGTTGCGCATAAAGATTTGTTTGCGTAACTAACATGTCCCACAAATTTCCGTCGAACACAGCAAAAAATAAATCTAATAATCCGTGATTCGCGCCTAACTGATTTAAAACATGGTCTTTTACACCACGAGACTCGGAATATTCCCGAATTATTGCTCTGTTCATCAGTTTCCTTCCAATCCCATTCAACACACTCGATTCAGGTCTGCTATCTTCTTCTTCACTACTGTCAAGTATAATTGATCTTCTTGCGGGATTTAGAACTGGCACAATGACGCTGTTGTCATTAGAACTGTCGTCATTGTCTGTAATTCTTTCAATATCTATCATTTGACAGCTTGAAACATTGGAAGCCTTTCCACTACTCTCACTTCCACGCAAACTACTTGCTTTTTTAGTAATTTTGCTCCTTTTTTTATACATGCTGAAAGATTTGACAAAATTCAAAAATGGTCGAGAATGTTACTTTTTGTAGAGCAGACTGTACGAAAAGTGTGCAACTCGTGTAGTGGAATGGTAAAAACTGAAGAACGACTGAAGCTTTCTCTCCGAGTGCCTATGTTCATTTATTTAGCCTTTAGACGTTATCTGTACCACGAAAATGTCTCCCAGATAACACGTGGCCTGCACACAGCAGCATTGGGACACAAGATCACATTCGAGACATTCATATTTGGTTGGAGATGAAGACCACGAGTTCGACTCGTGATATTTATGTTTGTCCCGAAATGTCGATTACGTGTTAGACTCGTGATATTCAAGTTTGGCCTAAAATTTGCATCACGAGTCAGACTCGTCAAAATAGGGCAAGGGGTTAAGGGAGTACTTACGTCTAAAAATAAAATAAAAATCATAAAAACTATATCTAAACAAAAAAAAATAATTAATTTGCCTTTAATTTCACTATAAAATAAATCGGTTTTGTAGAGGTTTTTTTTTATGAAATTCCACGTTTCAACAAATACCTTTGTGCAAGGGCGTCTTTATCTGCCGTATACAATATGCTCCGTCTTTCCTCAAGTTCGTCGGAGACTGCTGTCGTCAATCGCCAGCGTCGATCTCGGCGACCTCCCCCAAAAAGTCGTTCACGATCGCGATAAACCGCGATATTGCACCCCTTGCCACGCGCCCGGGTCTTGGACACGCGTTCGACAACCAGCGAGCCTACAAGGGAGGGCATGCTGGCTCGCGCCTAGTTTGTAATACGATACCCCGAGACACCTGGTTGACAAAAAAACTAAAATCTTCCTATACCTTAGTGGTCAAAAAATATGCATGTACGTACTTCGAAGGTTCGTAATTAACTGATGTTACTACCTGGTGTAATATGTATGTACATACTGGAATTGGCTGACAACACCGTTGGCATTCATATACCGCATAAAACAAATGGCACAAAAAAGGACCGCAAAAACAAGTTTGACTGTACACGTTATTTCTATACTTTTTATTAATTTATATTTAAGATAAAATATTACATTGTACTTTGTCGCGGTGGTATTCGTTAAAACATTCTAAACACATTTGAGGTGATTTTGGACAATTGGAATAATAGGTCGTA